ATAAAAATTGCAAATTTACCTTTTTTTTTAAATAAAAAAAAAAAAAAAAACAATTTTTTTTATTTCTATTCAAAACAAATGTATTTTATTTCAATCTATAATCATTAATATATCTACGTTATTCGCGACTTCATTTCATCGATGCTGGCATAACGATAAACCAAGATACAAACATCTTGTGACCTGAACTGTCAATCAAAACATATTTGCATTTAATCTTAAAGCTTTCAAGCGAATTCCCATCGGTTGCTTTACTTATTTATTCATTTTGTTCTTGTTTTTTAGTTAATGGATAATTAATACCAACGGATAACATTTCAAAGTATAAATTAAACGGATTTTATAGATGAATGAATTTTAATTTATATTTCCGCTCATGTTATAGTCAATGACGGCGAGAATTTGTTAATTTCGCCATACCTTGTTTAACATCGGAAAGTATTTTTCAAATATGCTATGTGTATATATAACATATAAGCCACACCCAACTTCATTTTAAATAAATCCCTCTTTTTAATAACTGTTTGTATGTCAGTTGTTGTGTTCACACCATCGCGTCTTAGTTGTATGCCGAACTTTCAAATCTATATCGCAGAGATTAGCGCATACTCAATAAATCCGACTCAATTCCACTACCAGCAGCCATAACTTCTCGACTATATCTTCTTCTTTTCGTACTATAAGAGTGAGATATTTCAAAGAGATTACACTATTTGAAGTTTTTCAGAAGACATTTAAGTATGTGTCTATCGAAAGTATTAAACCTGGCCGCAATTCCCGAATGAGCCCGACGAAATTTCGAGAAAGCAAACGAAATCTGCGAGACCGCCACTGCATAAAGATTTTATACATATGCAATTGATGTTAGATCCTCGGCGCTCGGATCCAATCCCCGATATGGATTAACGCGTCTCTTATTAATATCCATCGAATTTGGACATCAGTAAAAATGAACCAAGATAGAGCATTCATTTGCAAACAACGCTATGGATATTGAAATAGTGATGTAGATCAGCAATATTTTCCCTTTTTCTTTACAATATTAGGTCACATTGAAAACTTTTGGTGCTATAATTAAAACTACATTTAACAATACTCAATAGCGCATCTTGGACGATCACATACTTATTTATTGATCTAGCCATCGAATCATTTAGGCGATTGAGTGACTTTGTGTGTCACACCTTCACATGATCCTAATAAATTTTTATACCAACCATCCATTTCCTCTCCATTTGGATACACCAACTTTTTGTGTTAATCAATTCCAGGCCTAGTTTTTGAATTTAAAATAGTAAACGATATTCGCGATAAGCTTCAATGATTCAATTTTAACGGTTTCAATATAGCTGAAAAACTGGCGGCCACGAGCCGCATTCCTATTGGATGGAAAAAACAAAATACTGAACCTCATCTTTCTATATTAAGTTGAATTGAACTGAATTTTTTCCTTCAACGGCTTTTAAGCAACTATTAACTAATACAGCTCGATATTAGCATGTGCTATATTTTATAAAATTCAATTGAACGCCCTTTTCTAGTGGTCATGCCAATCTATAATAGCCAAGCTTTTGAATTTTATAAGATTTCATTGCAAGTTATTTCAAAGATTTTAGGGACTCTGGATCGATTACAGAGAAAGAGAGAGAGTGAATAGATAGATAGAGAGAGGGAAAAAGAAAGGGAAAGGGAGTGACCTTAAACAGTCGATCTGTTTTCCGCCGTAAAATTGCGATCGTGCGGCTGGGAGTTCGGCGCACATCAGCGTTCGGCAACGACGACAGGAATTGAACATCACAAGAAGCTTTTTGCCGCGTATTCTTACAATGGATTTGCATCTGTTTTCTATCAAAATTACTTTTTGCGTGAATGCTTATCGCTATCCATGTTCCCTTAACTAAAGCAGATTGTGTTCTTCCCGTTGTGAAAGTTGCCTTAAGCATTGGTACGATTTGTTCACGGAGAAACACCGCAGCAGCCTGAAAGAAGGATTTCTTTTCGATAACATTTTTAATATGAAAGAAAAGGTCACAGAATAAGATCAATTGCGGAGATTAGTTAGCGTATATGTGCGCTTTTTGAAAGATGTTAAAGAACGGCATCATTCTTCTTCTTCTTCTTCGGCAAGTGTAATTAACTCAAAATCGGATCTTAGTCACTTGATCTACACATCCATAGCTAGTAAAGTATGTAGGATTTTTATTATTTTTTTTTTTTATGTTAAATATTGACTATTGTAGAAGGATAACAAGTCCAACGAAATCGCGCTTAGACATGTTTATGTAAATTATAAACTGCTCGCAGCATATTTCCGAGTGTTACAGACGAGACGAAACAATAAGTTTGCTTCCAATATTCGGTGATTTATAAAAAAAAAAAAAAAATATATATATATATATATAAATATGTGAAAAGATATTGCAGACAATAAAAATTTAAATATTAAATAATATTTTCCATAAAAAAAAAGATTTGTTTCTTTCACATCTAATATAAATAAAATTAAAAACATGTTAACCTTAGTATTCACCTCACTAATAGGAAATGGAAACGAACAAGAAAGACAAATATAACGACGTCTCTCAATCAATCGTCGCTCATCTCATTTTGTCTCGTATCCCTTTTCAAAGATTTTTCCGTTTTTTCTCATCTTTTTCGTTCATACTTTTTTTTTTATCCGCATAAGCATATGATCTATGTTATCCGGCTGCCTTTAAATCCATACTTTGTAAATTTATTTACAAAATATATAAAAAATAAATAAATGAACCACTTGTGGTGTAAGGGTATATTAAGCAACCGCGAATGTATGCAACATACCAATTGACTTGAGATAGACCCACCTTTTATTTTATTGATTGATCGAGAATCGCTTTCTGATTCGGTCTAAGCTTGTCTCTCCGTCTAATTCTCTTTTGCTCATTTTTGAAATATTTTGATGAAATATCGTACACCGACATGTGTTGGCGCAAGAACGAAAGCTATTGAAAATAATCCGGATCGGACCACTAACTTGACCACTGCCTTTATAATGCCCTTATATTTAAAAAGTCTTTATATGAATAATTGTATTACCCGGGCCATGGTGGTTTTTACTTGTTCCATTTGTTGTGGCCTTATATATATCGGGAAATGGAATAGTCTTGGAAATGAAAGTAAAAAACATAATAATAAGTAAGTTAACAACAATCGCCCATCACATTGTCGCTATAAACAGCTAATAGACGTGCACATGATTGATGCATTTTGTAAAATTACAAATATTTCTTAATAAATACGTTGTAGAATTTATCTGAAAGTGAAACTCGTCAGCTTGGTTAGCGTGGTTCTTCTTCAACGATTTAAAATTAAATAAACATATAAAAAATAAAAAATAAAAAAAAAATGCATAGCAGCATAAAGACGACTTCAATAAGTATTATATTATATACGAATAAATTATTTTAAATAATCACATGCCGCACCGATACAATCGGAGGGCACGAACAAGAATATAGTTCTTCAAGGTAAAATGCTATATTAAACGCGCACGACAACTAATTAACTAAATTTGAAATACAAATAAAATTATATAAGTTTTAAAAAAATAAATGTTACACCAAAATGAAACAGCGATCAATAAAAAATAAAGCGCACGGTATTGATAAAATAAATTTACGCTTTCTTGGAAAAAGGAAAATTCAATTCAACAATTAATTCTTTCATGTTAATGAAATCGAGTTGAAGGACATTTGCAATTTCCGCAACCAACTCGTGTTAACTTTATACGAACGAGTACGCAGAAATCAAACGAATACCTATCAATACATTCGCTTCGATCTCATCCAGTTTCGTCGGAAGCGGCTTTCAAAACCCCTCTAACTATAATACGTCCTGTAAGGCAATCAACGGCTAACTATAGAGACGCTGTGATCATTTCGGGACCGCATTCTAATACTGAAAACAAAAATTATCTCATCCAATGCTCTTTATCGGTACATCTGCACGTTTGCTTCACTTTGATTGCGGTTTCATCCCTGATAACGGTTGCAAAAATCGAAATAGAAAGCTTAAAATACTTGCGCTGAATAATTTGCGCTGAAAATCTATAGATGAAATTGAGGCCGTAGTGTATATTGAAGAACTTTGAAAACTTCCATAAACTTGCGTTGAAAATTTCAAAAGAATTTTATCAAAAACTTATCACATACATCCAGTGTTATGGAAAGAAATGTTTATGGAATGGAAAACGATACCAACCAGTTTAGCATAATGCTAAATTGATCATGTTTATGTGTCCTCTCGAACTTATCCCCCGAAAACTAAAATGATATTTTCGACAAAGAACGAGCTCGAAAGGCGAGACGACTTACCTTACTCTCATCTATTAAGAAGGCAGTTTTCGCCTTTTTTTTTTTCTCTTAGGAATAGGATAAGTGTGCTGGGACAGAAATCATGCAGCGAGCCCTGTCTGCGACCTTTAAAATTTGAAAATTGATGAATAAAAGACTATAAGCAAAACAATTGGGAAAAGCAAGTTTGGAATGTCAAGCATTTTAAACAAGGATATAAACGATGGAATCGAAGCGAAAAACATAATTTATCAAAACTAAAATGGCTATGCATGACGTTTGTCCGAAACCTCACTAGAAAATGTTGAAAACCTCTTGTTTTTGAGCGGAATAAGCTTTGAGAAATACTTAACCAAAACGTAGTTATTATGTAATCAATAAATTTAAACCCCACGAAACCAAACATTGAAATGAAAGTTTAGAAAAGAGAGAGAGAGAGAGAGAGAGAGAGAGCAGCGATTATCCATTAGTCCTTTATGTAAGCACCTCATGCAGAGTAGAGTTATATTTATTTCTATTTAATTAAATCTGTAAACAGAACAACAAGTTTCGGTCTGTAAGAATTCATTCTTCATTCTCTAAGATATACTCATACACACATCGCGTAGATATTTTAAAGTGAAGCAAAACGAGGTAGAAAACTTTCAAAACTCTATGATTCACACTTACACTATTTGTTGTATATAGCGTTTGAGCTGTAAAACATCAACACAAACATATGAAAAATATTTTTTATTTTTTTTTTTTTTTTTGTTAATTTACTCTGCTTTGTTGCCTCACACTATATAGCGTTGTTTCATCTGGATACTCATTTATTCATAGGTACGTACAAACGCTCGACCGTCCATTTATATGGTAGTTTTCATTTTTATTTTTATTTTTTTTTGTTTTTTTTTTCTTTATTATTTATTTTTTATATTAAAAAAACAAAAAACTTATTTTGAATAACGTCACACAAGTGCACACTGCTGAACCCATTCTCTTAAATATCACCTGTTTCGGTTTGGTTGTTGGTTCGCTGCTTACTTGTTATTGCAATTCAAATGTAATCAGAATTCTTGTAACCAACACCTAGAATTATTGAGTCGAGACATACCATATAATATGAAATAACACTTGTTAGCTACGATCATTTAAAAATACAAACATTACGTTCACTCAGTTAAAGTTGTGTGGAATTTATTTTTCTAAACCAAAACAAAAAAAAAAAAGAACATAAAAGTAAAGATTAAAGAAAAATTAAATAAATAATAAAAAAAAAGACGCAATAATTATTCTCACTTAAGCATGAGCTTATTTAAAATGAAACTCGAATGAATAGCTCATCCGTTTTCCTATCACAGATTTCTATAGAATATGCTAAGCTAAGACAGCCCTTTACCAATTTCTTAAAATGTTTTGAATATGAATGAATAGCTTCTGTCACGTTTAGCTTACGTTGTTTTTTTAACCCGATTTGCAAGCACCGCCAATGAATTTTTGTAACGCTACTTACGCATAATCGAACCGAGCTCGTCTTCGAACGCTACGCACTTGAATGTTCATGCAATAGTGATTTTACAATAAGTCACATGACTTCTTCTCCTTCTTCGCCATCTTGTCTTTCTTCTTATAGTTCTTTTTACTTTATCACTATGACGAAGGTAAAGAATTTTGCTGATATCGTGATTGATACGATAAAGCCTAGTAAAGTAACTTATAACCAGCGATACAGAGCGGGACTTGTGACTGCATTATTCAAAGCGAATCGAAATGAGTCGACTTGCGCCCGCCTGGGCGTGAGTAGCCGAGTAGGTAAGGTAAGATGCTATCGACAACTCGGTATACTCTCGGGCTCAAATCTCAACCTCAATGCAGCAGAACCGTCGCTATAGTTAGTGCTCAATACGTAAAGACATAACACTTACTAATGGGACGCCATGATCAAAGAACATTTTGACAACAATTTTTTTATGTTGCAAGAACGATATTACTAATGGATCATCTTCATCCCGGTAGAGCGTGGTACAGCAGATAATCACTATCTTTGTTAAACAAAGGAATGCATCTCATTTTGCATCATGTAATACATCAACTCAGAAAGCTGTCCTTGCAATGGCCGAATCTAAAGAGCGATACTACGTACCATTAAAACATCCGCGATGCTCTCCTAAGCTGTTCACCTTCATTCATTCATATCATTGCTCCCCGTCCATTGTTCATTTGTCCCCAAATTTTTTTTCCCCCCTAGAAGTGGAAAACTTGTAACAGCTATCGATGAGTTCTTAAGGAAAATCATATTGAAATTCAAAATTACTAGAAAAAAATATATCACCAACTTAAGCGAAAAAATATTCCGAAAAACAAGTAAGATTGCCGAGTGGCTCAGATAATACGAACATATAATGAAATATGTGAAAGTGTTGACATAGTTGATGGGGGTAGAGTAATGCAACCATCTTGTTTTTTATTAGTAAATGTTAGGTTGGTTGTTCAGAGGTTGTCTTTCAAGAATGCTAGAAGATAGGAAGGAAATAAAGAGATTAATTATATGCTTAGATCGAATGTAAATTTGTGTTTGCTGTCTTCCTTTATATACGATAACGATTCCGTTGACAATTTAACATAATAACAATTTAGTTATGTAAATTGTGAATACATTCGTGTCATTGCTAAAATGCCAAAATTGTATGCAATTTTAATATATATATATATATATATTTTTTTTTGCCTCCTTTCCGATACATACAAAGCAATCAATTACTTTAGGAAATGTTGAAACAACAATACGTGCCAATTTTGTTTTATTGTATGCGAAAGCGTTGTATTATTTAGCACAAGAGCACGTTGAGAGAGTTAAAAAAAAAAATAATAATAATTTAAAAGGAATTTCTAAACGGTTTTGCAAAATGTTTTGTTGTTTTTCAAAACATATCAAACATTTGTTGTGAGCAACCGACCAATCGACCAACCATCCAACCAACCAAGCAAACGCCACTAAATGCTTAAATTTAAATAAATTGCCTGAAACAACACAAGTGTTTGAAAAACTTGTTTTTTGTAATTTTTTTTTTTTTTTTTTTTCGCTTAAAGAAATTTGTGAAATTGAAAAAAAAGTCAGAAAATTGCACAATTATTTTCTAATTAGTTTTTTTAGCTTATGTCTTCGCGCGCAAAAAAAAACCCAACAACTTAATCATTAAATGACAAAGACAAATACATAAATCGCTGAATATTATAAATTTTGTATTGTATTTGCGTTTCGTTAAAAATGAGTAACAAATATTTACAAATTTTTATATTTACCTTAAAGCGAATCTTGAACACTCACCGCTTAATTTTTTACATAGCTTTATAATACGGTGAATTATATAATATAACGAGGATTAGTGTAGGATCGGTGAATCATACTTCTAGAATTAGTGTACGATCCGAATAATAAGATATACCTGCAGAGTTTCTACAAGGTGTGTTCCAGGGTGCTTTTAAATGAGTTTATTAATCGATTCAATAAGTTCGTAACCTTACAGAGAGACACATCACGAATTAAACATCTTTGGAGATCTATTTACAAATTATTTACAAAAATTCATATTTACAATAAGCCTTCTGATCTTGTCCGTTCTTGTCCTTCATTCGACCATATCTTCCGCCTTCCGCCAGTACTTTGCTTATATGACCATTCTAATCTAGTGGCGTTAGGTCACTTAATCATGGTAAACCAATATTCCGACCATATTTTGAACGAAATTTGCGAACGGTGACCGACAAACTTTGAAATATTATTCAATAATGAAAATGCGTTGCTCTCTCATGTAATGTTCCATTTTTACTAACTCAAAGTTATCAGCTGTCAAACATTTTTTTGTGAGGAGTGAGGGGATGGGGGTGTTGCCAGCACTTTACCAAATTCGAATCTTCCAAGAACTGTGGGAAACCCTATATAAGCAAGTCCAGCCAGCAGCAATACCGATTTTCATTATGACATCTTCAGATTAATCCCGTTTTGCCTGTGAACTGTTCCGCAGCTTATTGTTAGTCTTTCCGTCAATCGACAACGGCACCAAGCATTTGTATTTGTTTTCACAATTTTCAGAATTTGGTATCTGCGAAAATCAATTATCCAATATTTATCCAATGTGGAATTTTCATGACAATGCATACAATTTTCAGTATATTCTCGCCTTACTATAATGTGTTTTTTCAGTGATCTTAATTTTGTTTTAGTCATTGCTTTAAGTTAATCGTTTATTGAAAAGAAAGGAAACAAAATGCTTCAAGTGTGGCCGACTAAAAGAAAATTTGGAAATTGTTGTGTATACCCTAAGACTACTTCAATTTGACTTCGGAGATACACGATATCTCCTCCGAATTTCATTTCATTCATTCCAACTCTATATTAATCAACATATTCACATCATTGTCTCGCCGGTTTGAAATAATCAAACAATTAAAAAAAAAAAAAACCCTTTTTATGATCTATCAACAAATTAAGAACATACTTGAAGTGCTCTACCAATTCTGCACCTTATTCTCACAACTCTGGCTGACAATGGTGAATCCATATCAAATCAACTGATTTTTAGTTGCTTTCAAAAGTCTCAGTATATTGTTAAGAAAATTTCATACGATTAAATTACCTGAGCCATGTTTCACGAATACGATATATAGATCGAACGTTAACTTGCTCAACACCAAATTCATAATCTAAGTCGTCATATACCAATCCATATATAATGCTTGTGATCTTAAACAAAATCATCCAACCAAAAAAACCAAATCACGTAAATGTATTAATTAATCGTTCTAAAGCGATTCAAATTCTCACGCATTGTAAAGATAGGTAATTAAGTTCGTGGATGAAAAGTAGGTGCGCTCACGTTTATAATAAAATATTGCTTTCCTTTTTAATATAAAGCAACTCTATGCCGTATCATCAAATATCATCTATGGGTGAATTGTGAAATTTCTACATAACCTACGGCAAACTAAGCCCAACTGAATTCGGATAACATTTATATTAAACGGTCCACAAGATCCTATAACTTTGACTTTTCTATCTCGATTTTTTCGGTAGCTATGTAGTAAATCGCGCTCTCTTTCCGCAATTGTGCACATGTATGTATGTTCAATAATAATAACAAGTTTTGAGTATTAAAACAGAGTTCACCCTTCTATTGCTATGAAGGTTATAGCCGCTTTAAGGCGAATCGTTGACACGCATCGCTTCCCACATATTCGATTTGTACAATATTCCTTCGAAAGATGGCGAGAAACTCGACTCGTTGGACCTTCTAGAGGAAAATATTACGACTATGTGGTATAGGGTGAACGTAGGAGTTTGTTTAATACAAACAAAATTTAACCGTGCCTGCGTTAAGCGATCTATTAAACTAAATCATATTGTGAACGCTGGTACACCAAGGTAACCATTTTTAATTTGCCTCTAAGCAAATGCATCAATTTTTCCATAAAGGAAATATTACTATGAACTATAGGACAACCTCCGTTCAGAGATTAAAAAAAGTTGCCTGGGATCAATCGAAAACTTTCATATATGCATTGTTCAATAAACTTTTTTGAAGTGTTAAAGTGTTCCCCCCAAAAAAGTAAAAGTGTTGTCCTTTTAAGAAATGCGAAAAGGAAAGGAAAGAAAACATTTCAAGTTATGTAAGCTAAATTTAAGGCAAATACGAAGTAAGACAATTTTTACGAAGGCGCACATACAAAAATTGATATAACAAAGCCAGCTAGCCAAACAGGTTTGTGATTTTCTATATGATCAATTTTCAAACACAACACCACCACCATAATTATCAACAGCTCCATAACCGTACACATTACCACTAACCAATAAACAGGCAACTTGTAGTTTCTCTTAGTGACCATTGTATAAGAAATGTTGTTTATGTGGTTTTAGTACCTGTTCGCAGTAACCGTTAGAAACTAATTTTAACCGGCTTACATCTATGCAGAGAGCACATACTTACTTACCGTTGGCTTAAATAACCAATAAACAAACGGTCGGACGGACGGACAGACAAACGGACAGACAAATAGACAGACAAAGAGTTGCGAGCTAGTAATAGATAAAAATGTTTGGTTGAATGCATCGATTACGCTGGCTGTTGGTTTGTTTTCAGCTGTAAAAGTTCAAAGGTTTGTAGAAAACTATTTAAAGCGTGAGAACGTAAACACATGCTTGCAAGCACACACAAATGCACACACACACACACAAACACACACACACCTAGAGGGAGAGAGGTACAAACTCAGATACATGTGAAATGAATTTTCGAATAAAAAACTTTAAAAAAATAAATAAAACAAAAAAAAAAATCATAGCAAATCTAATCTCCTTCAAATGTTTTATGTTTGGTATCTGTGTCACACACTAAATGTATTATATCACCAGTGAGTGCATATAACTCTATCTACTCTATGTGTGAGTGAATGCATAAACATGCAAGTGTATTGAGGTGCATTCAGGGTTAATTATAAAAAATGGCTAATTTTTAAAGCCATACACAATGTTAAAAGTTCGTCATTTAAATAAATTTAATTTTAATTGCGCGTTAGTTGATAATAAAATCAAGCGCATTTGCTTCTCTTTTCTTTTTTTTTTTTTGTTTTTTCCTCTATATCTCCAGGTTTTTTATTACAATTATGCATCTATCTGCAATAGCAACGAGAAGGAAGTATTACATTACATATTTTCTATGCGGATGCATAGAAAAACGCCGCAATATACCGTAAGGTAAACCTTCACGGTTTATAAAATATTTGCAATAACTGTTGGAACAAAAAACGACAGTATATCCTCAAATAGTGAATCTTGACCACATTATCTATGAGCTATAATTGTTTATCGGATAAGTGCAGTAAGGCGAATATCTACAATATGCCTTACAAGTTAATGGGAACACCTACGAATTGCATTCAAATACTATATGTGGTTGCGTCATTGATTTTTGATTTCCTTTGTGATTAACCGTAAATAGATTATTATGTCAACTGCAAAAGGCAATGAATATAATGGACACGTACCTATGTACGCTTGCAGTGTTAAACCACATTTAATTCAGTTAACTACTTACATTACCAGTAAAGTATTGCACTTAACATGTTCGCTTAAAAGACCCGCCTACATAGAAAAATTTCTTGCAAAACGAAGAAGAAGAAACTTCAAG